ACCGTATATTAAAAAAACACATTATTATCATCAGTTACTTATTTTGCTGGGTAACATTTCAGCATAAAATAAAATTTACTGACATTTCAAACCGCTTCAAATTATGTATTCGGTATCTGCTAGCGGTGGAAAAACTTCATTTATATTTCCGTGGTAAGGAGTTACAAGTGGATCAAGATTTGTTGGCGGTTTTGACAATGTCACATTTATTATAAATGAGCTCTGCCTTTCATCGCTTAAACATGCTGTGTCAATGTAAATCAAATTTATGAATAATGCACATTACAGCTTCTCCCTGCAACCTGAAACACAAATCAATCACATTCGTAGATGTTTAATTCATCACTGTTAACGTCCCCTTTAACTAAAATAAAAAATTCATGTGTAAAGTGTTGGATAGATTTAAAAAAAACTCTGCGTAATATCCACACATTTTGTTTACTGTCCTCATCGCTCAGGTAACATTCATTGAGGAAGAAACATTGTGTCAGCTGTTAAAAATGCATTCAGACAGTTGCGTGAAACCAATTGTGGACACCATGAATGTTTTTTTTAAATCAAGAAAATGAAATAGACACACACGCACACGCAGTGGATTAATCTTGCTCAATGTACATTCTAGAACCTGGGGCGCTAAGATGACAGTCTTTGCCTTTGCTGCTTGTGGTATACACAGTGTCCCTTTCGAGCTCCCCCCCACCCTCATCATAATGCTAAGTGATGTGACTTGAAAGAATCTTCCCACAGGAGCAAGTGAATTAGCGTCCAACGATGCAGCACTTGGTGCTCAGCCATCAGATCAGAGAAGTAAGTAGAAGGTGGTATAAAGTGGTGTCCTGCTCAGAGCCCGTGGAGGTAAAACAAAAGACAGGAGTGCAAGTAATAAATGAAAGCAAACTAATAATAATAATAATAATAAAAAACAGATCCACTGGATATTTTTACCATTGATGACATACTATGAGATATTCGACTGAGATGACGTCATCAACTCTGCAGCGGCAGCTGCAAAGCTAACGACAACTAGAGTATAGAAATGTCCTCAAAGCCACTTTCACGACCCAGTTGTCCGTGCAAATGCAATTCAAATTGTATATCTGATTTCCAGAGAACCAACACAATCCCTAAATGCATCTCGCTCTCTATCTCGTCTTCCTGTTACACAACTAAGTTTAGTAATTGATTGACTTCTCCTTATCAGAGCTCCTATCAAGTGTGTTAGTTCTATCTTTGAGCACGTATCTACAGTTCTTATTTTTAATCCGCACAGATCATCTTGCATTATTTATGGTGGCTGAAGCTTCAACTGTGACTTCCACCTTCCTTCTACTACATTAGTCTTTTTGTATCAGGGGAAAATATAGCAGGCGCGAGCGGAATTATTTTCTTCAGGACATAGACCATAAGAAGTGACCGGACATCATCAGTCACAGCCACATTGGTGGACCAAGACTGTCCATTGTGTTTCCATTCAATCTGCTCTGCTTGTGACTGTATATTTGCATATTGCTACTGCTTATTAGGGCTCGAGTGCCAGGCGGTGTTCTTGGAATCGCTGTGTTCCAGCAAATGAATCATCCTTGGGTGGGGTGGGCTCAACGTGACTGCAAACTCGCCCATTTTAATGATTTGCCCCTCCGCCCAACATCACTCATTAGCACCTCCTTGAGGTAAAATCAGTCAATGTAGTTGAAAGCTAATACTTTGAATTAATTCAATGGCTCGAACAAATTTCCTACAGCATATAATGTGGGCGTAGCCTGGTGTTAAACTTTGATGATCATTTCCACACAAGTTATCCGTACTGACGAAGAATTTGGTCTAAAGAATGTTTCACGAGTGATGGACAAATGAAGCTTCATGAGGCATTTGTGATGTATTTTTTTACTCCTCTAGATGGCGATCTTGTTTTAAAGATTCAGGCTAGTGCAAGGGAAATGTATTGCATTTCCACTATATCTTTAAATCAAGAGTGCCATCTAGAGGAGTTAAAATCCATCAAATTGTTATAAGCTTCATGAAGCTTCATTTGTCCAGCATTACTTTTCACACTACACTCGCTCGGTGTAAAGGGTCGCGCAGCAGCACGGAACGCCAGCCTCACTCTGCTTGCCGGCATGCCTATGTTGGGAAGTGCTCTGACATAGCATTTGTCAAATCATTTCAAAGATTTTTCATAAATAAAGGGGAGCGAGGATCCACTCATCGTTGGTTGCAGCCTCAACATTTTACTTATATTCATCCTCCTTTTTCTGCTCCTGAAATTGACTTTTGTTTTTTTGTTTCTAGCTTGAAAGCAGTCAAAGCCTCTTTGCCGCTCATCTGTCACACATTATCTCTGTTTAGCATGAGTGTGGCGTCAACAGTTCCCTTCGGGTCACCTCACCCACCCTCTGAAACACCTGATACCTTGACGCAATGATGCAGAAAGAAAAGTCCCCTCATTGCAAGCGTGAGAGACATTTAGACACAAGCCTAACTCTTTTTTTTTTGTGCCAAAACAGGTATTCAAGGTGTTTTAAAACACTAAGTAGTTGTAGTTTCAGAAGAAAATCCTTTCATGTACTACTTTAAAATGTGATTACACACGGGAGGGTGATATCAACTTTTCGGGAGGTATCGCGATGGGTGTAATTTAACTTGTCTGTTCTTTGTATGTGAATGGTGTTTGTATATGTAAATCAAAGTGACAATAATCCATAATTCATGAGATGCTACAATTGGAATAATGTTAATAAAAGCCTAAATCCCCAGCATTTCTTCCCTGAGATGATCATGCTGCTGATTCAGTTCTTTTAAGGGGAATCTCAGCAGGAAAAGGCACACTGTGATTGTAATGCAGCAGCTTGTTCATTTCACCTACTCATCAAAGTGACATGGACTTGAGTGGGGAAGATTAACAACCAGTGCTTCGGGTATAATGTGCCCTTGCAAATTTCTGAGTTTAAATATAAATGCCAATATACGGTACACGAATTGTGACATATTAAGAGAAGCTCAGGCTTGTGCCGCAATGTTGCTTTTCTACTGCCATTTTCATTGGAATGGAATTGATGCCTGCCCTTCATTCAAATCGATGATGTTCATCCCCCTCTTGGTACTTTTGGGTTGGCTTGTGCCTTTTGCATCATTATGGAGTTTCTGCCTCTGGTCCAGAATCAAAAGCGTGGTCCACCCCCATGTCGGCAATTGCATGAATAAAAGTGAATTCACCATTCCTCCCAATAGCATTTTTCAGCTCATTATAACACTGTCATGAAAGCGGTTCAAAACACTTTCATTGTAATTCTATTAAATAATACATTTTCATATTCATGAGTTGTTTAATGGACAGCTGATTTCCCCCCAAAATTTATCGAATCACTTTGGTTCACAGTACAACAGGTATAGTTTGTATTTGCTATCTGAATCTGTTCATCCATCCATCTGTAGCGCTTGTCCTCAATCAGGGTCATGAGGCGGCATTTACCGTATCCCAACTGACTTTGGGCTGCATTCACAAAAAACATTCACTCACATTCACAGCAAGTGTGAGGCTAAACCCCACAAAGGAAGGCCAGAGGTGAGATTCAAAAGACAAAACTGTCAGCAGTCATGGCAACCACGTCGCTACCATGTTGATGTTTTGATTTTCCTTCTGTTTTTTTTTTTTTTTGTGTTATTTTTTATCCCAGCATAAAAGGAAACCGATGACAGCAAAGATAAAACAAAGCATAATGAAGGCAACCAGCATTATGGACTGTGCTTGAACTGCTGTTTCACAGTATGTGTTTCGACCTGCCACTAAAACATCAACACCGCGACAGCCTAGGCTAATGGGTTAGCATTTTTATTGCCGCCACTGAACAGCTTTTGCCCCAGAATGTAATGGTTCCCCTTAGCCCTCATCTGGGTCTTCTTCCAACAAAAGCAAGCAATAAAAAAAGGTGTAAACAACCTTGGGGGAACTACAGTACATCTCTGCCAAGCACTAAATAGCAACATTTTGAATCTGATCTATTCTAGTTAGTGGAAACAAAATAGCCTAAGTCATTACTTTAAGGAAAACCAGTGGTAATTATGTTTGTCATCTACTTGAAAACTCTGCTTTGAATTTGTTGTTAAACATCCATAGGTTACTTATCTTGCTCAAATTCATCAAAATATCGCAAACAGATACAAAGAAAAACCTCCAAGTACACAATAATGACACCTGAAACAAGCGGTGATTCAACATTAAGTGCGGATGTCCAGATGGCTCTCTGGTTTTGGGAGATATTTTTTTCCCACTTCCTGTTCCTGCCATCTTTCTGTCTACGACAGGCAGCCTTAGTTAGGCAGTCAAACAGCTGCACGGGTGTGGCTTTCAAATTGTGTATTTGGGCTTTCTAATTCTGCCAAGAAACAATTGGCTCGGCAAACATGAACACAGAAGGTGAAGAGATCTGAGCAATTGTGTCTAGAAATTTAGGGCACCATTGACAACCAGCCAAGATGTCATGAGTTCAGAAGAAGAAACATGCTTTAAACTCGAGTGGCAGAACACAAAGGGTTCGGGTTGATGGTGTTTTCTTTATACCCTTGGTTTATTCAAAATGGGCATCCCCAAGGGTCCATACTGGGTCCCGTTTTATTTACACTTTATATCAATGTCTCTTGTCAAAATGGAACTGATGCTAAATTGCAGTGCTATGTAAATAACATTTTCTATTGTTCATCTTCATCATTAGCAAGTGCCACAACATCTGCAAACTGTCCTCATCGGTATTGAGAAAATGTTGTGGCCTTTGGTAAATTCTGACAGGACTAAAATGAAGTGCTGTACAAACAGATGATGTTTGTCAGATTGTGTTTCTTTCTACACGTGGCTGGGATTTAATTGTCATTCAAAACAACAAAGCTGAAGCAGTATATTTTCAAACCTTTTCATACATTCACCACAGTCTTTCATTCTGTACATGCTCATTAAAGTTGATCTCACGGTAGAGGTGACAAAAATCACGACGGTCACAATTCCTTACCTTGTCAAGTATTCCCCTGAGCTTCCATTGCTCTGCTGTACATCCATACAATTTGTAGTTCCAGGAATGAGCGCTAGAGAAGGATTCTGTTTGGCAGCACTTCCAATAGCCCGTGTCACCAGCTCCAATGAGTCCTGGACGTAGTGATCCAGAGAAGGTGACGCCATGACTCCGTGAGCCAATAGACCAAGGGGTAATCCATCTGTTCTTAACTCAGCCACATTCTGGCCGTCCCCTAAGATCCAGTGGAATTCTGGAAGCGTCATCCGAGTGGCCATCGCCCACAGGCGCCGTACCTCGCGAATCTCACACCCGAACGTCACCACGCCAACTGTGGACGAAGGCTCTCTCAGGGCCTCCAATTGCCGCATGAGAGCTTGCTGCTGCTCCGTTTTGGTGGAAGAAGTCGAAGCAGATGAAGATAAATGGTGGGAAAATGTTGATGATGACAACTCTGTTCCTGTTGAGGGACTTAATGCGCCTCCTGAGTTTGGTACAGAAGACGAAGGCAGTGCGGAGGTTGAAGTTGTCAGGTTGACAAAAGCGCCCAGGTGGAAACGGGTGTTATTTTTGATGAGGAAAATAAATTCGCTTATGTCCCATTCCTGGCAGAGCAACAGGTTAATGTCCCACCAGCCATTCATCATCAGAAGCGAGTAGAGAAGAAGGGGTGCCGGGGCCTCCACTGTCCGCATGGCCATTTGGAAATGAAGAGGATTCTGATAAAAATAACCAAAAATTAAAAAAAAAAAAAAAGAAGAAGACATAAGTAGGGATGAATTAGCAGGAGGAGAAAAATTATTTAAGTCAAATGAAGCAATGTGCTTTTGGAGGTGCATGTGAGGTCAAGGCGAGAGAAGGGACAGAACGAGATAAAGGTGGAGAGAGAGAGAGAGAGAGAGAGAGAGAGAGAGAGAGAGAGAGAGAGAGAGAGAGAGAGAGAGAGAGAGAGAGGGAGAGAGAGAGAGAGAGAGAGGGGACTTTTTTAAAGACATTTGGACAATTGATGGCCATTAGGAATGCAAAGGAAAGCAAATGACAATGTTAAGATGATAGCAGTCATAAACAAATGGTAATGAGGGAGATAAAATGTTGGAGGGGGTCATTTGGATTTCACAGAGGGCAAGAACATGGAAGAGATGTCGGGGAGGACTCTGAGAAACAAAGGAAGAAATGAAGTGTAATTAGATGAAGGAAAAATACAGACAATGACAGGTGGCGACGTTACAGTACGGGAGATGGCATCAAGGTAGCGAGCGACGGGTGGAAGATGAGGCATCAAAAACAGATGGAGTGAAGTGAAAGAGGAAATTTTAAAAAATGGGTTATGAATCCAGCAATGGAATTACTTTCCCTCTTTGAATTCAATTTGTTCCTTGAGACCAGACACCGAGGTGAAGAGAATGGATTTTCAACCTCCACTTACCTGCTCCTATGAATATCATTACTCACATCACAAATTACACTCCATGTATTTATTGCTAAGGCAAAAAACACACAAAAAAGGAAACATACGTATTCAAAAATATTGTTCACATACTTTATATCTTCTAGTTGTTGGTCAAAGCGAGTGTTCACCTTCAAAATCCCTTTCTGTTATATTTGTTAAAACAGTCAGTATGTATGATAAATATGACCCATGCCCCAGCTCGTGCCTCTAATTTTATATACAAGAAACCACCGTGCCAGATGAATGTCTTGGGACCTAGCCGATAATTTGGCGTAGAAAATTATTTATTTCACATTTTACTCGTGCCCTATATGCCCTGGTGTTAATCGACTTTACACAACCTGCAAGGCAAAAACCTATCAGAGCCACCCAAAGCTTTTAATCACATTAGTCACTCCATAGGCGTGTCATGATTCTTCATCTACTCTCTGTACTGTGCCGATATAAGCGTCAGTTGTGCCAATTAAATAAGCTGTTTCCTGATGAGAAGAGCTGTTTTAAATATTAACAAATGATGCGACGGTTCGTGTGGGGTTTGGGCACTAACCTCTCTTTCCTAAATATACACGGTCCCGTTTCAGCTCTCACTGTACTGTGAGCGCCTAAATTTGTTGATGTCATGAAAAGAAGATAGGGGAGGGGGCGACGTCCTCCTATGAGATGCATGTAAAAATCCCAACCGTGTTGTCACTGAGCTACCTTCCGTCAATTTCCACAGAGCACATCCGTCAGCTGTGAAGTGATGTGAGGGGAATGTCGCATCCATTGCCTCACTGAAGGAACTTGCCGTTACCAGACTGACAAATCAGACCGCTAATTATTTGGAGTCATTGTCCCCACATTGGATAATTAGTTCCTGAAAGTGTCACAAATGATGAGACTTGATTTCTTAATGTTTGCTGCTTGACAAGTATCAAAGTAAATGTTCTTACACCTTTTGAAAATGGTGAAGGGATGAGAGATCCAAGGTTTGTTTCGCCTTCCTGTGTGGTTGTGTGGGTTTTCTTCGGGTGCTCCGGTTTCCTCCCACATTCCAAAAACATGCACGATGAGTGAGTAGTTGTCTCTGTGTGCCATGCAGTTAACTGGCAACCAGATTTGCCCTCACCCTGACCTTGCCTCCGCTGTTTGTGTTCATATCAAACTTTGTATCTTTATGCTGTCATAAAACCCTTCTTCAAATTTGAGTCAGGTGCCTTCCTATCATTTTATGACACATTGGGAGTGATAGATTGACAACTGCAAAGGAATGATGTCTGACTGTTTGTCGTGACACTGCATGTTTGGTCACGTCGGTCGTCCATGTATTGTATCAATCCACTATCCGGGCATCATCCATTCACCTAAGCATGTGCCGTTCATCTTTCAAACCATCTTTCTTGATTAACCGATCTCTCCCTCTCATATCCATCCGTTCCTTTATCCGTCCAGCAATCCTTTCACCGGCCGTATATGCTCCATCCATTAATTACCATTGTCACTCCCATCCATCCATTTTTCTCACCACGGTCCAGGAATCATACGTCCACACATTAGTGTCCACTGATCCTTTTCACTTCCACTCTCCATCCATCATCCGTACGCTGACACCGGATGACTGGATAGTTGAACTAATTACTGGATAGATCATTGGCAAAATTGTCACTACGTAGATAGACGATGGGATGGGTGAGTCACAGGATACAGTAAATGGTTGTTTAACTGGATTGGTTACTCGATAGATGGCTGAAGGATTTACAAAATACATGCAAAGGTTAGATTAATCATTGGATCAATGGACAACCCGTCCAACAACAACCCATCAGTCGTCTCCGTCAATACAACCAGCAAATCATCTGTCCTGTGTCCCGCGCTCGTTCCCCCATGCGGCATCAATCTGTCTGTTCAACTTCTACCTGTTGATCAGCCAACCAACCATCCAGTGTCCATCCTTCTCACCCATCCAACCACATAGCTACTCTGCATAGCGCAACAGTATCACTCGGCGACCCTTTCATACATCAAGCATCCACTACTGTCCATCATCCGTCCATCCATCCATAGCGTCCATTCCAACAGTCATCCACTGCACGTGTGTGGATGCGCTTATATGTGTTTTGTTTTGAGCTGTGTGCACAAAATATCAAAACCTCTCCCGGTGATTTGCAATGACTCGCCCGTCAGCGCAATTTAGGAGTGTGCATAGAGTGTGCAATGAATCAATTTAGTTTATGTGGCTGAGTCAGGATGAATGATACCGTGCAATAAATTACCATTCAAGTGATTCAATTCGACAATGTAAAGATTTTGTTAACATGTATCAACATCTTGAACTAATTTCATCTCGAAAATCTAACAGTTGCATTGGACATGAAGTTCACCCTTCACCTAATTAAAGTGGCCAAAGGTCCTTTTCAAACACCAAGGATTTTTGTGCCCGTAAGTAAAAGGAAAAAATAAAATAAAATCAATGGCCGATCCACGTATGTCGAAAAACTCACACGGCGGGTCACAAATGCAGAACACCCATAATTAATCGTTTGCCGATGCGATTAATAGTTTCAGATGAAATATCACAAGGTAAGCTGAACAATTGCACATGAAATCTTTGAGTTGGTGGATCGTGCAATTTGTTTCCTCAACGTGCAAAAACGCACAAATTTACAACTACCTGGAGAGCATGGTGTTAATCGACCATAATAATGACATCATCGTTCTAACGTACACAAATCATAAATCAACTAATTGTATGAACGCTCAACACATCCCTGAGAGGGAAGCACAGAGATCAATACTGAAGATGAAAGCCCATCCCGGGGCGACACTACAGTGTGTACAATGTGTGTACGTGTGCATGCATTCATCTTCCACAGACTTGGCAGCCTTATAATAGCACAACAGTGGAATCACTGGCTGATGGGTGATGACCTTCAAACATTTTGGGGAATGAAGACCGCCTTGTATGCTGTAGCAGGAGTCATTTAGAGTCTCCAGCAAGTTTTAACATGCATGTTTTGAGAATGTTGAAGGAAGCCGCAGCCCACGGGAAGCACAAAGAGAACATGTAAACTCCACATGTCACAGGAAGGCCAGAGCCCGGATTTGAACCCTCACCCTCCGAACTGTGATGTGCTAACAACTTGTTTGCTGTGCTGTTGAGGCAGTGGGGGACATTCCCACTCCCCTGAAATATGCTTGGCCCCCCAAAGTGCCAGGCCAGGTAATTGCCTTTTTGTTTTTTTTTGTTTTTTTTTTTTAGGATAAAAGTCTAGCTCCGCCACTGGACCACTGCAGTCTGAAATAACACATCCTGTTACATATTTACCTAAATTATCAATATAGATGTATATTGGCTATATTGGTTGTTTATGTACGTGTAAATGTTGTTCACTACTCAACTTTTGTTCGTTCTATTAATATTGCTGTTTTTATTACCTCACTTTGACGCTGAAACTCTCTCGGCAGAACGCTGACGACCGGCACCCGAAGGGCTTGAGACACGAACTCCAACTTGACAAACTCGTCACGGTTCCGAGGGAAGGACACCATGACGGAGATGCCCTGCACGACCACCGTGTGACACACGCTCTCCACAAAGGACAGCGGGTCCTCGTCCTCGGGGCTGCCCGGCGAGGCGAAAGAGAATGCGGGAAGCTCGCCGAGTCCCGAACCAACCGCCATGACGAGCTCCAGCGACAAATTGAAAGGAAGAATCCCAGCTCGGTTCACAGCCTCCGCCGCCAGCAGGACGGACTCTCTGGGCGCAAAGAAGCGATTATCCCACGACGCGTTCTCTTCTCGCTGCCGGGCGTGGATTTTAGCCCGACTCCCACCGCGCTGGCTGGGAGCGGAACCTCTACTCCGGAGGCTTCGGAACTCGAACCCGGCACTTTTTGGGAACTGCTTGCCCGCATGCGCTCGCCCATCTCTTGCCTCCGGTGGACTCCCCGCGTTATTCCAGACATCGGAACTGCCGGTGTCGGGCAGTAAGCGAGGATGCACATGCAGAACCCCCACCCGAACCGTGTGGCCGATGCGCTTTAGAACCTGGCACGGCTGCGGGTGCGAGTAAGAGTACCGCGGGAAAAAGACAATTACGCACATCAGTAAACACAGAGAGGAGCCGCTGCCATTCACTATCATCATCATCGGCCCCATCTTCATCCTCTCCAAACCACAACTTAACCCGATGCCCGGCCGGGCTACAAATGGGCCCAATAGTGGGGCCGCTCCTTTGGGCCCCACAGTGTCGCCTTCGCGAGCCGCTCAGACCAACCGCAGCCACGGATCCAGCTCCGGTTCCACGTCCAGATGCGAGTGCAGCTCCCGAGAAAGTTGCGCGTTCCTCCAAACACTCCAACAACAAGCGGGAGCCGCGCGCAGGCAAGCAAATATCCCCCAAAGTGCCGTTTTTCATCTCAAAAGATTTACATCATTCAAACCTTAAGGCGAGTGAACAGGCTGTGCCATCAAAAAAACATTTTCACGCGTCAGACGCGAGAAAGAACACGCAGGGGAAAGAGGAGGATATGAAAGACAAAAATATGTCCACTGCGCATTAATAAACATACTCCAAAAGAGTGGCAGCCTCCTTTCGGCTTGATGGAAGAGAAAGAAAAATAGCCCATTATCATCCAAAGCGCAGGAGCTCCAATAGCCTCAACAGGTATTAAAACATCACAAAACACATTTTCCGCTGCGGAGCGCGTGTTGACAGATTCGAGTCCGCGTCAAATACTGACACCGGTGCGGGCACGAGAGCGCAGTGGATTGGCTCTCATTGCAAGGAGGTTTAACCCTCTACTGGCGTTACCCCTACCCCAGACACCCCAGTAGTGTCAAAAAATAGACGAAATCGAGATATGCCCGATGACACCCCCCCCCCCAAAAAAAAATGGGCACACCTGGTTGTGACACATACAGCTGCTTTCAGGCCACAAGCGCTTCCTCTGAACATTTGTCCGGTGTATTAACTTGGTGTTCAAACTTGGCTGCATGCTTCAATGTTTACTGTTTAGAAGACAATATTTATTTCAAGACTGTACTTTGATACTGAAGGATTAATAGAATGAATCCCAAATAGCAGGAGTCAGCAACATCTGGCTTTCGGGCCAAAATTAGCCGCCGCCAATTATAAAGTATATTTGGCTTGTCAAATGACATTGTTATAATTTGAGATGTGACAATATTCAAGGTATGTCAGCAAAATTAGCCCGCCGCCAATTATCAAGTATATTTGGCTTGTCAAATGACATTGTGGGGGAGTATAATTTGAGATGTGACAATATTCAAGGTATGTCAAGTGCCTCATGATCATCGTCTTGTTTCTTTTCAATATAATGAGCTGGTACACTTGCATGTTTCATGTTGTGCACCCAATCAATTGTCTGTTTTCCCTATACAGGCTCCCAATTGGCCGCATAACCTAAATGATGATGAGATCCTGTCAGAAGATATGTCGTGATGACTGACTGACTGGCCCGTTATTTATGCAACCGTCGAATAAGAGGAAAGCCGGCATCTATTTGTTCCCACTTAAAGTGCTGCCCGAGACAGAGTTATTTGGAAAAAAATTGGCCAGTGGCAGTGAGAGGTGAACCTTTTCTTATTTAATTTTAATCATCATGTATTCAAATAAAAACGGTGACTTTTTGGGCATCAGTTGAGGAAGAATGGCTGCACATGTCGGACATCAAAGTCAAATGGGTTGTCATGTCTGGCGGGGGCAAAGTGACATGTTATGTCACGCATGAAGTTCCTGCTCCGGGCATTGTTCCGACCATCTAACCTCGGCACCTAATCCAATCTTTCAACTCAAGCAGATGGGGCACAGACCTCCATGTTTCGGACCAGATCATGAAATGCAATAAAGGACAGATCGTAAAGTGGACTTCCTCAGGTGTTACATATGCGAAGAAAAAGCAACAGGTTTTAGTCATTCGGGTGTCAGATTTATCATCAAGGATGAGGAAAAACAGCATCAGGAAATAATCTGTCATGTCCATCAAATTATACTGTCATACTACATGGATGCAGGCAAAACTAGCTAGCTAATTAATGTTAGGTGTTATGGTTCGCAAGTGTGTTGCTTAAATTTAGGTTAACTCAACTTTGGTTAAATAAGCGTGGTCAAGAATTACGTCTACACTGCATTTTCCGGACGTTTTCACATTGAAGTTCTGGAAGTGCCCTAGTGGAATTTGGACAAAGCGGTTCTTGGTTAACGGAGAAGCTAAATGGCTAGTCGGAAGCCGTTTGTCAGTTGCCGTTTTGCGCGAGGCTAATTTGTCAGAAGCCTTACAAGGGATCCAGTTTTGTCTGAGGCCTTGTTGCCTGATGGTCGATGGTGTACTTCAATAGACTTGGTCGAAACACAAAACCTATTTGCCGCAAGTCCGATCGTGCAATCCTATCAAACATGACAAACGTTTTCCCCTTATCCTGATGAATTGTAAATTGATTTCTGATACTTCACACTGTAATTCCATAAACTTGAACGATGTATTCTTGAGATCTGTTGCTTTATGATCTCACATCTGATTATTATTTTTATTCACCCGTTGTGTCATAAATGCTGGTATTGGTGTAATTTTAGAGGTTTAGTGACGCCACCGACAGCTACAAGTGCCGAGAATAAGTCAGGAGTGCTGGCAACCAACCAGATTTGACAGTTGCTGCTGGTGGAAAGTTTTTCTGTCAGACTGTCAAAACCACCCTCAGGGCCCCTGGCCACTGAGGGAAGCAACCAAACGCATTGGCACCGACGTTAATGCTCTGAAGACCATCTGGAGAAGACGTACGAAGAGAAGAAGACCAAGCACAGACGAACTGCTCAACAATTGCTGCAAAGATTGAAGGCGATATGTGCCGGAAATGATTCATTCATCACTCATAATGAAGTCATGGACAGAGAAGAGGCATTGCACTGTAATCGACTCTCGTATCATATGACATCATATTTTGTCACAAAGTCACAAAACATACAAAAAGTGAATGCAATGACTGTCTTCCAGAAATATTAGACAATGTTTAGGTTTATATGTGTAGTTACTCGTTTTTGTCTATAACTGTCAAAACAGTAGAAACCGTACAAAAGCCTTCATGGATGTTTGATGACAGTTAAAAACTTGGAACAAAAAAGGCATGTCACCCTTATCTATTCACCGCCTTACTCTTTGTTTTCCCTGTTAATCCTTTGAAAAAAAATTCTTTCTCTGTCTATGGTGTAGCGGTCACCCATTTTAATCCTATCACCCCCCCATTTTAATCCCACTGCCGAGTAGGTGGAGCCGTTTTTAGCCTTTTGTTACTTTTGCCTCATGTCTTGGCCTTTGTCTCACCTGTCAGATTTTACACTGTCTTTTCCTTGTCTACCTTTGCATTGACTGTATATGGAAATGCTTTGCACTTCCTGTCCACTAGGTGGCGGTGTGCACAGAAGAACTATAATCTCCCAGTAAACCAAGAGAAGGCAGCGAAGAAGACAATGACCAAGACTCACATTCGGTCTGACAGATCATGGATACAGTGCCTTGGATTCAAACCTTGACCTCAATACTCATCCTGGTAAGTCATTTTAAACTTTAAATGAAAACGTTAAAGCGGTTTTGGAGTTAAAACAGTAGCAGGCAGCCACCAGCGTACTCCTGCTGTACTTAACAGTTCAGATTATGTTGGCAAATAAATATGGGAGGCCTTGTAAAGTTCTTTGGGTGGCCACCGTATGATTGTAGACACACTGATATATGGTGCACTCCATTTACCATTTTCATCAAATGGAAATTTTCATCTGGATTTATATATTTGACAGACTGACGATTGACGGACTGGCGGACCGGTGAAATGTACTGACAGAAGCGATGATGGAACCACGGCTAAATAACATGACGGACTGCCGAATATAGTTAGCTTTGAAAAAAATGACAGACTGACGATGATGGACAGGTGCCCAGGCCGCTTCAGGATGACGGATGAATGATAAATTGCCCACCTATAGGTTATTCCCATACAAAAAAAAGAACTGTATCGAGAAAAACGTCAAAAGGAAAAACCCGACCCTAATTTTTTTAAAATGACAATGAGCGGCCCGTAGACCTACAAAATTCCAATGGAGAGGTTTCATTGTTGTCTTGGCACATATTTCTGAGTTCACCATCTCTGTGAGTTCTCTTGCCTTATAGTGACTCTGTTGACCTTTACACCTGCCATCCTAATTCTTCCATGGCTCATTTCCCCTCTCCGGTGTCAGGGCTCATGACCAGATGAAACTTGAAAGCGCATATAAGGATAAACTTCAAGGTCAGAGCATTTATGCGATGCACATCTGCGCATTTGATCAAAGCATGGCTCAGCAGAGAAGAACCACACACAAATCTTCTGACAGGGTATATGTGTGTGTTGTTAGTGGGGTGGTTATATGACCAAATAAAGGTCTCTGAGTTGTTGGATACTTCTTTCATGTACAGTATTTGAGCTCAAGGCCTTAAAAATGTGACATTTATAACACCTGTACATGCTTTGGACACAATCCTTTTGAAGAGACTAAAATTCAATTGGAGGTCATTTTATTTTGCTTTGCAGATCAGGTATAAATAATAGCTTGCGCAGCTATTTGGACAACTTTGCTTTGCATGGAATCCCTAAAACAGTTGAGCCATGAGTAAACATGCACTTTTAATTGCTTAATCCGTCTCATTGGTTAGCTTTGCAAACGTAACTTTAAAATGACTTTCTGCCTTCTAGATGATTTTGTCACTGACAATTATCAAATCAAACAAACATTTTCCGATTTCCTGCTCTTTTATTTTTGTACTCCGGAGTTGTTTTGCGAAAGTCTACTCGGGGAGCAATTAGATTTTCATTGCTTCAAATTCATATTTCAACATTTTGTTTTGCAGATGTTTGCAGAAAACATTCACTCTGATCTCAAAATGAGAAGCACAGTTGTTTCAGGAGGATGAGGTTTTTGAATTTGTTTTTACCTCATTTGAAAGTACAATATCAAGTACAGGTTTATTCAAAAATCCTACATGCTGCTTTTGTTTGGATTGATTTTAGTTTCAGTTTGTTGATGTGAGTGCTTAGTTTTGACAACAATGGCACCTCCAAAGTCGAATGCCCCGAAATTGGTGGCTATACTGTATGTCCTATAAGTCCAACAAAATTTAGAATTTAAACCATCATTTACAATTGCTTCCGCAAACATCAGGGATACCCAAAGTGAGTCACTTGTTCCACCGGCTCATGTGTACCTGACGTATCTCGCAGGGAAAATGAAAAAGTTTATCTTGACACAGACCTGTGGTCTCAGCTCATGCTGACGTTAGCCTTATGCTAATCTGATGTTTCGCTCACACTTTCGCACAGTGTGCAGCACATTGCCTTACTTTAACACAAATGTTCTTCTATCTCAGGCGATTTGGGGAGATGGAAACGATTAAAAAAAAATCCATCCATTCACAGAACCTGAAAATGTAAAATTAGCTAAGATGGATATGAGATGTGGGGAAGGAAAGTTTTATCTATACATATAAAACTGATTGTCGTCCTAGCAACCAAGTCACAAAGCAAAGGATTAGTCAGCAATGGTCTAACCTTCGGCTCATTCTTCTCCCGCTGAGTGGAAGATATTTGACCAATGAAAATACGTGACCTGAACACGTTAAAGTCCGGAGCCACTTGAGCTCAGCCCTTCATGATGATTCTGATTATGTAAGGA